ACCAGATAAAATAAAATAGAAAACCCGGAGCGGAGTTGGAGCGGAGTGATTACAAAACGCTTTGAGTGAGGAGTGGAAATGTGCCGGTCTACTGCACCCACAAACTCTGATACCAATACATTTGTGTAACCTTAATATTGATCAGTTTTATTGATCATATGATGTGTCTCTGGAGATTAATGCCGACTGAAAGCAATTTTTATCAGAACACACTGTCACGGCAGCTGATACTGTTTCTGTAGCAGCGGTTCTGCCTGGTGGTCTGCTTTAGTTTTGTATTTGGACCCAGAATGCACCGGAGGCCTTCCATACACGGTTCCCTACACGGTTTATTGCGATATGACCTGGCGCGCGCTTCAGGGTGGGAGGGCGGGAAGGGGGTTGGGGGTGGTGGTACTCAGCTGACCTCAGCAGCCTTGCTGTCTGCCGGAGAGTTTTTCCCTTCACTCCCTCCAGTCTGTCCGTCCATCCGCCCGTCCTTCTGTCCGCTCCCCCCACCCCCCTCGGCCGCTCTGCATGACTGATCGACTCTGATTTACCGCGGAACGTTAAAAAGATGGACTCGGAACACTGGAAACAGCACGGTATACATGCGTTCTGTGCCTTTATGCTTAAATATTTAAGTATTTGCAGTTTTTAGACAGGGAATGTTCCGGTTGCTGTCAGTGAACTGCAGTGCCAAGCGTTTAGCCGCTCAGCCTGTGACTCGCCTTACAGCTGTAAAGTCCTCAGGTCTGCAGAGTCTTCAGCTCTGAAAGCTTCACTAACTGTAATAGAGACTGTCTGGATTCTGTTTGCATGTTTTTGTCTTCATGCTGTGTGAGGGTGTTAAAAGGACCCTCCAGTCCTGTTCAAACCTGTTGTATACATGTCAAATCTCTTCTTACTGTCCTGCCCCAGAAGCCTCTAGAGCAAACTATTCCACTTTGAATTCTGGAAAACCCCCTTCTGATGACGTACCTTTAAGGTGGGAGTGAATTTTGAAGGACTAGATCCACTTTGGGGAGGATACTTGGGGACAGGCTGTGTCCAGGCTATTTTCACTAGCTGGCTCAGTTGCTAATGTCACTGGGCTAATGCAGAAACAAGCCAGGGAGCTAATGTTACTGCTAGGAAGCCAAATATCACAATCATATAACTTTGACTTCAATAACTTCAATCTGTTTTCCTGCTTTAACACACCAGCTAAACCTGGCGAACTGACTGATCAGTTGACTCAGGTGTGTTGTGAGCAGGAAAATCCATAAATGTGCAGGACTTTGGCGCTGTTGAAGGACCCCACCACTGCTTTACGGTATGCTTTGGTGCATAATTTCAGGCATTTGGGAATCGAGAGTTGACTCCAGAATTTCAGACTTGATTCCACACAGTGATGTTCAAGTTTGCTCGCACTCGTGTGCTCTAGGGCTGTCCAGTTCCAGAAAATTCTGGGCAGGAATTGGTGTAGCTGATTCCACACAATATACTTAATTCCAAAAACCAAGACATGGAGAAGGACATGTGGCAAAAATAGAGTACAATGTGAATTATGTTAGACCTTAGAGGAAATTTGGAAAGCTAACACTAGCTAAATTAACTTGGCTGACTAACAGAGGCTTTCAAAGTTGTACTTTAATTTTTTTCTTTGCTTTTTTTGATATACATCCTTCTACTTTCTAAAATGTAAAGAAAAATTCTGGACAAGTGATTAGAAACTATTTTAACTTCTTATTTTTAGCCATTTAGCTTCATTTACTCCCATTCATTGAGGACTCACTCACGGGCGCCCTCTGGTGTTTTGCAGTCATATTTTTGATTTAATAAGGGAAATAGGAAGTGGCCCGGCTCCTCATAAATCAGCACTGCTAGAACGTCTCTGTGTTAAAATCAAGCTCAAACCTTTGGCGTCGACTCTCGATTCCAAAATCCTAAACTCTTCACACAGAGTGTGAGGTATTCTCAGAGAACTTGTAGAGAGGAAAATTACACTCTGTAATGTCTTCTGGGTTTCTCAAACGCTAGAGGGCGCTCCCGAGCGAGTCCAAAATGAATGGGTTAAGATGGAGCATTTGGGCAAAATCATAGTTTATAAATGCTGAAACATTTTTAACGTAAAATAATACATTAGTTTCCTGATCACTGAACAGCGTAAAACATTTTAACACTGCTGTTATGTTTTTAAGAGGAGGGGGGTGGGGGTACTGGGGGGTAGGAAGTGGCCAGGCTCTTCATAAAACGGCTCTGATATTTTGCAGTCACTTGAGACAGCCTGTCTGAAAAATACATCCCTCCACAACTCGCACATCAGTGATCCATCTCTATGTTACATTAGACAAAGTGGAAAACAAAGTAAAGTGTAATGTAAGTGATGGAAAACTGGCTTACAGTCAAACAATATTGCCAGTTCCAGAACATCTGCCCACCTGACGGAGTTGACAGGGAAGAATCAGGTACAGTTTAGCCACACACCATTAGTTTAGCCAACGTTAGCTCTCCTAATTTCCTCGCTGAGTATTATTAATGCTGTAGTCTCTGTTTTGCCAGATGTGTTTGTTTGTTTTGGTTTTTGGAATGGAGACTGTTATGTGGAATCAGTTCCCGTCACTTGGAATTGGAATCTGAGTCGACTACAAAATGCCTGGAATCATACAGCCCTAGTCATTAAGCTTTCACATTTCTGTGCTCCAGTTTGTAGTGCTGGCCGCACAATCAGAATTATGCATTTTTTGGTGTGTTAATATTGTAGTCTCTGCTTTGCCAGATGTGTTTGTCTGTTTTGGTTTTTGGAATCGAGATTATGTGGAATCAGTTCCCGTCACTTGGGATTGAAATCAAAAATTCCAGAAAAAAAAAAAAAATCTGGAATTGAGCAGCCCTAGTAATTAAGCTTTCACATTTCTGTTCTAGTGTTCCAGTTTGAAGTGCTGGCCGCACACTCAGAATTATGCATTTTTTGGTGTGTTAAATAGGAATTACATCCATTTTGCAAAATTTCTGTTTTTTTTTTTTATTATTATTTTTATATGCAGGGTTGATACTGGTAAAATAGTGGTAAATCTGAAAAACGTTTTCTTTCGGGACTATTTTGCCCGAAAGTGTAACTTCTGCTATGAATATATTTTAAAAACACATTTTGGGTCCAAATGTCATCTCAAACCAAGTGTCTCCGAATTCAGGCAGAGTATTAATAACCATTTCACATTAAAGTTTTCTGTGAAGGAGGTTTCGGAGACTCTCCAGAGGTCTGGTTCCTATCACCACCACAGTGAATGATTACATCTTGGGAAGCTTCTCTAGATCAGTGCAACTCGCACGAAAACACTTTTAAAGATTTGTTTCAGTCCTTTCCTGGACACTAACCGCTTTTTCGACATGCGCACACGCTACTGTGAGGACTTTTGCGGAGGAGACTTTTATTTTGACATTACTCCTGTGTGTGAGCGGAGGGCTAGTAGGTTTTAGTGTATCGGCCTGCTGGGCGAAATGGACTCCAAACACGGTGAGCGGATTAACAGCGGTTATCGAGCCCGACCCGGTTAATCTGGACGGGGTTAGAAGTGTTGGGCAGTAATACTGTGTTTATGCGCCGGTTGTGAGAGAAATCGTGGTTTTAGAAGCTTTAAAAACGCTGTTTTACGTGCGGATTATCGGGCCTTTAGCTGCTCGGCGGCGGGCTGAGGGAGAGGGGCTCGGGGTCGGAGCTAGGCTGGGGTCAGGACTGTTGGGGGGGGATCAGTTTCTGGAACATATGAAACATAAAAACAGTAGAATATAAATAAATAAAGGATTAAGGACAAGAGCTGAGGAGCCTGAAACGGCTTGGAGCTGAAAAACGAAACTATAGAGACCTGAAATAACGGTTAGGACAACAGAAATAACGTAAATAACGCGGTTTACGTAAAATGGTTTAAGATCATTTAAGCTAATAATTCGCTCTAAATTCGCTTTCAGAGCTCAGCTTTATGGCATTTAGGGGCAAAAGGGTGTTTTATGGGCCAAGAGACTCAGCCTTGTGAGGTTTTTGAAGGCAGTGAGTGGAAGAGCAGGTGTGTGTTTCCTCAGATCGTTTCACTGAGCCATGGTTGAAGGAGTGGGCGATACGGCGGAAATATGATATCGCGATACTTATGTTCACGATACATAGAAATATTTAGTTTTTCTGAGATTTAGTAAGTTGGAACAGACAAAATAGAAACTATAGTGCTACATGTGTACAATACTATCATAATATTATTATTATTATTATTATTATTATTATTATTATTAATACCAACAGCAGCATTATTTTTTGTGTTTAAAAAAAAAACATACTGCACCAAATCTAGTTAACCTCTTATTCTCCAGGGTATATTTTGGTTATTCCATCTGAATTTACATGACCAAATCGTAAGGCAAATTATTAAGCAACTGCATGAAATAAATGTAAATTTTTATTTTATGTATTTATTTATTTATTTTTTTGTAAAAGCTCCCCTCAAATTAACAGAACATGTGTTTTATGATCACACATATTGCTATATGCTTACAATTCACTGCTGAAAGCCAAAAATCTTAGACGCTCTTTGTATTATTTTATAAAAATAATGTTTACAGAGCAGATCACTGAAGAGACGCCATCTGTTTATAGTTTATAGCCCAGATTTGTGGAAAAATGGGTCGACTTTCAGTAGAGAAAAAAATGACTTCAGTTTCTTTTATTATAACGGTTTAAAATGACATCACCATCTATTTGACTGGAAAGAAGACAGTTACAGCTCTCATACGACCCCCACCTTTAGAATGTAGCTTATGAAACATGAAAGTTATGAAGAATATGATGACGTTTTGGAACCACCGGTGGTCTCAAGGAGTGGAAAAGGTTAAATATTGCAGTTTAGGCACTCCTGCCTTCGCTGATTTTCACAAAAGTAACTTGATTCATTATTTGTTATTCAGATTTCTATTAATACGTAGTAAAACATTATTCTCATGTTTGACCTGCAGCATTTTAACTGCCCTTCTTTTCATCTCTGTGTGTTCAGTGGTAGAATTGGTGTACTGGCGCGACCTGCAACGGACCGGAATCTGTTTCGGCGCAAGTCTGTTCCTGCTGCTGTCTCTGAGCGCGTGTAGCATTGTTAGCGTGTTGGCGTACATCTCGCTAGCGCTGCTGTCCGTCACCATCTCCTTCAGGATATACAAGGGCATCGTCCAGGCTGTGCAGAAGTCTGAGGATGGACACCCATTCAAGTGAGCCACTCGCGCAGTTCTATAGAAACAAACAAACTGATCTAAATTTTATTGCCTTTAAATTACTATAAACACTGATCAGGCATAACATTCTGACCACCTCCTTGTTTCTACGCTCATTGTCCATTTTATCAGCTCCACTTACTATATAGGTGCACTTTGTAGTTCTACAGTTACAGACTGTAGTCCATCTGTTTCTCTGATACTTTGTTAGCCCCCTTTTACCCTGTTCTTCAGTGGTCAGGACCCCCATGGACCCTCACAGAGCAAGTACTATTTGGGTGGTGGATCATTCTCAGCACTGCAGTAACACTGACGTGGTGGTGGTGTGTTAGTGTGTGTTGCGCTGGTCTGAGTGGATCAGACACAGCAGTGCTGCTGGAGTTTTTAAACACCTCAGTGTCACTGCTGGACTGAGAATAGTCCACCAACCAAAAATATCCAGCCAACAGCGTTCTGTGGGCAGCATCCTTTGACCACTGATGAAGGACTAGAGGATGACCAACACAAACTGTGCAGCAGCAGATGAGCTATCGTCTCTGACTTTACATCTACAAGGTGGACTGACAAGGTAGGAGTGTCTAATAGAGTGGACAGTGAGTGGACACAGTGTTTAAAAAAATCCAGCAGCACTGCTGTGTCTGATCCACTCGTACCAGCACAACACACACTAACACACCACCACCACGTCAGTGTTACTGCAGTGCTGAGAATGACCCACCACCCAAATAGTACCTGCTCTGTGAGGGTCCATGGGGGTCCTGACCACTGAAGAACAGGGTAAAAGGGGGCTAACAAAGTATGCAGAGAAACAGATGGACTACAGTCTGTAATAGTAAGTGGAACTGATAAAATGGACAATGAGCGCAGAAACAAGGAGGTAGTCATAATGTTATGCCTGATCGGTGTGTGTACATATATATATATATATATATATATATATATATATATATATATATATATATATATATATATATATGTATGTATATATATATATATATATATGTGTGTGTGTGTGTGTGTGTGTGTGTGTGTGTGTGTGTGTGTGTGTGTGTGTTCTCTTCAATAGTAAATCTGTAGTGGAGCCCATGCCTGGTGTTAGTTCAGATCTGTTATCTGCTAATCGTAATGGTTGTTTGAGTGAAATAAAGCAGAAACTGTCAGACAAATAGCTGTGTTTATTAACCTTAATGTTAACAGTCAGTCCAATATTTTAAAGCCTAAGTTTAATTTATTCATCTCCTGTTTATTCTGATTGCTTATTTAAAAACGTCAGTGTTGTATTCCAGGTAATTTGAGCCTGACTTTGTTTTAGAGTGTGAAATGTTGTCCTGCAGGATGTATTTGGAGCAGGACATTGCAGTTTCCGCGGACGTTGTGCATAAATACAGCGAGCTGGCCCTGGGGCGCTTTAACGCCACCGTGAAAGAGCTGCGCCGCCTCTTTCTGGTGGAGGACCTGGTGGACTCTCTGAAGGTCAGTTCAGAGAATGAGGGTCTCATTCATAAAACTTAGAGTTAAACTAACTAAATTTCGGGCTTCGCTGCTCCGCACAAACGTAACTAGAGGTGAAAGATGGCTAAAATTACTCTCCTTACTCTGAAGAGAAAAATGTCACCTCAACAAAGTCGATAAAATAGGCTGTGATCCTTATACAGTCTCCCCTGAACTCCTGGTCCCACTAAAACTGGAGGAAAGCTACCAAATTTGTGTTTTCCTGATATATTTATCTCATACTCAGCCCCTCCCCCTATTCTGGAGTCTCTCACAGCATTTAAAAGCACAGAAGCCCACCGGCTCTTCACGTCAGGGTGGGTAAAGGATCCCATGGTGTTGCATAAAGAGGAGAAAACTTTCATCATAGGAGGGTAACGACATCAGCTAATTAACACAGATGAGATCAATGCTGGCCTTTAGATAACTTTAGCTGATGTTATCAGCCGAGAGATAAACAGTCGTCCCCCTAGCGGAGCTGCAGACAGCCGGTATAACTTTACTCTCTGTGTCTGAATTAAATGACGTTTGAATGGAGAAACATAAGCGTTAAATATCAGACTGAATGTTGTGGGTCGGAAAACGGCGTCGTGTTTCGACAGACGTGATTCTGTAAGTTTGCTAGTGCAGTTAGTTCAGAGTTCAGCTCCAGTCCTGAAACCCCTGCACTGCATAACTGTGGTTTCCTGGTTAAAATACCTGATATTATTAGCTAATTAATCCCTTCTTGAGCTGAACGAGGTGAGAACAGCAGAGAAACACTAAACTATGCAGTGCAGGGGCTCCAAACCTGGAGTGAAAACACTGAGATAAAGGTCTGTGTGTCTCTCGTCATTCTCGGCTTCTGTCTCGGCTTCTGCTCCCTGATTCAGTCCTCCAAATGGCAGCGACTATACAGTGTGACGTCACGAGAAAACGCGAGAATAAAACATTGGGTATGTTCACTTGCATGCTGTCCCAGGGGTGGTACCACACCTCCAGAAGTGGTGGAACAAAACTGATCGTACCTTTTATGCCATGCTAATAACACGTCTCTATAAAACTGTTCATGAACAGTGTAGAGTTTCTTTTGATCCTACTTGGTTCAGCCTCAGATCTTTATCAGCTACTTAATCAGGCTGTTTTCATACGCAGTTCATTTTCTACATGTACAGTTTCATGTACAGCATTTAGCAGACGCTCTTATCCAGAGCGACTTACAGAAAGTGCTTTGTCTGTCTAGAGAAAGTATCTTTGCTAGTTACAAACAGGTTAGAGAGAAAGCCTGACCTAAAGTCTGCACCAGAGTTTGTGTTTTGAGATAATAAAGGCGATAATAAAAAACTTTACTTAATATCTGCTTCATAATTATTGGTTAAATTTAAATTGGTAAACTAATTAGGTCCCTGACGGTTTACCAAAATACACATACACTACAATTAAGTGCAGAACGATATGAGTGTTGGTAAAGATTAAAATCTTAATATAGGCAGCTCATGCAGACAGTACAGTTCCCACCAGCAGCAGACAGAAGCAGGATTCACTTAAGATGGGGTTACAGTACTGCGATGGACTGGCGACCTGTCCAGGGTGTATCCTGCCTTCCGCCCAATGACAGCTGGGATAGGCTCCAGCACCCCACCGCGACCCAGAAGGATAAGCGGTTTAGATGATGGATGGATGGATGGATGGATGGGGTTACACTATGCGACTTTTACCCCAATTTTAGCCCTGATTCTCAGCCAGTCTGAGTCTTAGCTGGTCGACCCTAGTCTGCAGGTTTTCGGGTCAGTCTGAGTCGACAGTTGGAGAGAGAGTCGATTCGTGTTTGAGGGGCGCAGACTCAGATTTTTGGCCTCCTGGTTTCAGACCAGTCAGTTTATCAAACGTTTGATTTGTTTCAACCTGACTCTGAGTGACATCTAGTGTAAACTGGTCAACGACTCAATCTGAATGGATTCCTGCAACAACCAATGAAAACTGAGAGCGCGAAAGAAGAAAATGCAGCAAGTAAACAAAGAAAAATGGACAATCGAGTTTATGTACCTTTAAAACTCTAAAAATACCAAACTGATCACATTTTTAAATCAATGATCCACTTTCAGTGCAAACGGCAGAGAAAACAGCAGCAGCAGTTCCACGTTTGTTTATTCGGGTCTTCTAGAAACAGAAGAACGCGAGAGTTTGCGAGAGTTCGCGTGAGTTTGTGCGAGTTCAGTGAGCTCCGTTCGCTTAAGCAACAGCTGAAAAGTTGAGTAGTGTGTGATCCCTGATCGTTTAGTGTGGATCCCCAATATTCCGGTCATCCCAAAAAATCTGCAAAACCCAGTCTGACAGTGTGAGACGCCCAGTCTTTTATAATCTGTTCAGACTTTAAAAGTCGTACAGTGAACCCAAGGCTTTAGGAACAAACTGAAAACTGCAATTTTTGCCTGACCATGGTTTAGTTGTTTGGTGCAGACCTGAAAACAGGAGTGTTTGAAGAAAAGGTTTGATAGGACAACACCAAACATGGAGGATGTGAAAGTAACTTTAGGTAAACAATGTATAAACAGCCATTTAGTAAATTCAGATCATTTAATAACTGTGGCCAAGTGCATTGTTTGGGGTATCAAATATATAATAAAACATTTTTATTAGATTAATGAGCTACAGCTCCTCTCGCTGAACATGAACCTGAAAGTTTCACTGTTTGGGGAATGTCCCACCTCCCAGTTGAGAGAGAGATTTTAAACGCTTCTATAGGTCAGCGTTCCTTAAGCGCCAGTGCCCTGAACTCAATCAGTACAAGTGGTAGTTCAAATACGTGCTCGCCCTTGTGGTTCCAGCGGCCCTTCCTCTTTATAATTTAGTCCTCTTGAAAATTTGAGCGCATAAATGAGCCTCCTGTCCTGCCCTACTTTGATAAATGGTCAATGAAAATTACTTCATGAATACATTTGTTTGGAGAGCAGAGCATAAGGATGAGTGCTGGAGGCGTCCAGCATGTATCTGCTGCACCATTTAAGGTGGAATGGGAAAGTTAGCTAGCTAACTGCCGAGACATCAGCAAACTACTAGCAATTTTTTATGATTATTATAAAGAAAAGGACCATAATATATTGAAACAACATTAAATTAAGATAATACAGTGGTTATCATGATTTTTTTTAAATGGAGAAAATTCTCACATTTGTGGGTTTCTTTGATTGCCATCTTGATGGTTTTTCTTTTTTCCTCATAACACTGTTTGGAGTGTCTCTGACAAACCTCCGTTTGGAGGGTCATGTAGCTCTAACACTTCGCCCCACCCCTCCATCTCAACAAGAGTCGGGGCACCCTACCCCTAGGTGTGAACGCACAAAACAGGGGTGAGGGCTAAGTGGTAGGGGCGAGGGGTGAAATGGGATTAGTCTACTAAACTTGGAGACAAAACAGTGGTGATTACAATACAATTAACATTTCCACTGGAAAACAGATAAGCGTAAGATGCACTTCATACACTTAATCCTTCCTGTCCAGTCACGAGTGTGTTGTGAGAAAGATGACAAAGCAATTAACTCTTACCAAAAAAAAAAAAATCTGTAACGACAGTGTGTTTACTATATTTTGACATGTTTTCTGTATGTTATTAGGAAGAGGTCAAGACTGCGAACAACTACTCTACAGCCTAATTAAACACTTATTAAACACTTTCCTGAGAGATACTTTATTAAGTTTGCTGACGACTTGTCAGTCTGCTTAAGGGAGAAGAGGAGGAGCGAGGCTCTGTCTTAGATGAGTTCATTGCATGATGTGAAGATACCTGTCTACTCTACAATACTTCTAAGATATAAGAGATGTCTGTTTATTTTAGGAAAGTGTCCAAACCTTGTTTGGTCAGATCACTGCGTCTGTTACTAATTACAGAGTCTGTTACTTGTGGTTGTCCCAGGTCAGGGGTCGGCAACGTGGCTCCTGAGCTGCATGCGGCTCTTTTACTGCTCTGTTGAGGCTCCACAGCTGAATTAGATTTGTAGGTAGAAATAAAATAATCCTCCTTTACAGTAAAATAAAGCTCTGCTGATCGTTCAACACAGTTTAACAGTAAATGCTCTTAAACTCTGGAGTTAATGTAGAACTGCTAATTCACCCTTTAACCCTGAAGATCAAAGCAGACTGCTGGTCACCATAGCAACACATCTCACCGAGCTAACAGCTAACGAAACGAGAGAGACTTAAGACGAACATCGATAATTCAGAGATTAACTGACTTACTTGCATTTATAATCACTCCACAGTTACATTCTGCCGCCTCAGGCAACATTTAAGGTGGAACGAGAAACTTAGTACAAGAAGCTGGCGAATGAGAAGCGACTTCAGCCTCGTAAAAAACATTGAGAGACATTTTATGGGAAAAGTTTCCTGCTGGAGATGTGAGAAAAGCAGCTGTAGCTGAGGTAGTTTGAAAGCAGAGCAAAGTAAGTCTGTGTTTCTGTTTATATTTTTAATTAGCACATATTAAGAGACATTTTCAGCCAATATGATAAAATGTTACTTCAACAAAATGGACATACAACGTTGTGGCTCCCAAGGTGGACAGATTTTTTTTATAGGACAAAATGGCTCTTCTTAACATTTGGGTTGTGACCCCTGGCCTAGATAATAAGCTGAAGTGGGACTATATGTACTGAATGTACTGAATTTATTAATAGAAAGGGTCAGCAGTGGCTTTATTTTCGGTCAGATCATATGTGAGATGTTTTACAGTGTGTTTATTACGAGTGTTTTGACTTTCTGTATTACTTGATGGTTCAGAAATGTACTCAAAAAAACCTGCAAGCAAATTGCAAGACATCCACATGACTAATTCGGATATTTAAGTCTAGATCTCTTAGCAAAGCAGCGAAAATGATTTCTGATCCAAGGCATCCACTTTCCTCTGCTTTTGAGCTGCTACCTTCTGGTCACAGGTACCGTGACCAGGTACTGCTGTAACACCAAACAGGCTATTAAAAGGCTACAGAAGTACTTAAGTATGTAGGTATGTAGTACACTTTATTCTGTTCCCCTGGAACTGGACAGAGTATGAAGGCTCAGCACTGTGTTCTTAAATGCTCTGTGGTTGAGGTTCTGCTGTAAAATTCATTGTTTACCTGTGTCTTGTTTCACTGTTCTGACTTACATAACAGATGCAAAGGCGAACAATGCAACTCTTTGTCCTTGCCTGACTCAGACTAAGGCTTTCAGGCTGATTTTAACTGTATATGCTGAATGGTGTTCTCCACAAGTGTATACCAGAGTGTGCATGTTATTGTAGTGTATATTGTAGTGGGGTGTCCAATCTTAGGGCCGGCGTGGCTGCAGGTTTTCACTCCCAACAAAGCAGGTGGTCACCTGATGAAATGTTTGAAGACCAACTGATTTAACAAAAAAATCAGGTGAGTTTCAGCTTGTTTGGAGTGAAAACCTGCAGCCACACCGGCTTTTTCCGGACAAGATCAGACACCCCTGTTGTAGTGTCTCTGTTCTGTGATCTAAGGTTTAGGAATGGCATAAATAGCCACTTCTTGATGGACTTCATAGCTGGATTTTGTGTAAATAGGCTACACAAATTAATTAATAAACATATTAATCAAACACTGTTTAGGCTTGAATGTCTGTCATGAGAAAGTAGCCTGTGCGATCTCCAAAAGGTGATTAGGCTGTGTTCACATTACCAGGTTGAAGTGGCACAAATCAGATTTTCTGCCCTAATGTGACTCAGATCTGATGTTTTCAGAGCTGTGTGGGCACATGTCTGATCTTTTCAAATCTGACCTGAGCCACTTTCATATGTGGTCCTAGATGGGATACATATCCGATTCGTGGCCATGCAACCTTAACATGACGCTCAGATCAGAATTCATGTCCTTTTCTCCACTGCGCGTGCGCCATCATTCAGTGTTACCATGGCAGCAGCGCCGAACAGAAGTTAAAGCCTGTAAACGGTGGAAAAGCAGCTCATCTCACCTTTTTCTCCTTCGTCTCGCTCTAATAATGAAGCTGAGAGCTGATCAGAGTTAATGATCTTCTCAGCGAAGCTCGTTCTGCTCGTTAGTTTGTGCTGATGATGCACATGATTCATTTTTGCTTGTTTATTAATAACAGAGTATAACATTTTCTCACTGAGAGGGTTAAAGGCTGGAAATGGAGATCAAAATGGAAACTGAATATTGTTGAAACGAGACGAAATATACTTGCGCAGCTGTCCGTTTACTTGGGGTGCAAAAAAAAAAGTTCAAAGTTCACCGCTTCATTTCTGGTCACTGTAAAATCAGTGTAAACATGAGTATGTGTGAGGCAGTCTAGCACTCTGTTCTGACTCACTGAGTGTAATGGAAGCTCCTGCACTGTGCGTGTGCACAAGCTTTTCTCGGCCTGACTCCAAACAGTGAGAGAGAGCTGCCCGTGTAAGGAGCTGTGGGAGACGGCGTAGAGTTACACACGCGCTGGCCTTTCTCACAGCCAAAAATTCCACCCTGCTCACGGAGATCTGAGTGACGGGTCCATTTGGTAAATGCCGGAGGTTGTCTGTCTGTCTTCAGAATGCTCAACCTCTTGCTGGCTTTCATCAGCAGGGCAGCTTGTGTTTCGTAAGACTTGAAAACGTGTGTGTGTGTGTGTGTGTTTGTGTGTGTGTGTGTGTGTGTGTGTGTGTATATATATATATATATATATACACACACACACACACACACACACACACACACACACACACACACACACACACACACTCCAATCAGTCATAACATTGTGACTACCTCCTATATAGGTGCACTTTGTAGTTCTACAGTTACAGACTGTAGTCCATCTGTTTCTCTGTGTACTTTGTTAGCCCCCTTTTACCCTGTTCTTCAGTGGTCAGGACCCCCATGGACCCTCACAGAGCAGGGACTACTTGGGAGGTGGATCATTCTCAGCACTGCAGTAACACTGATGTGGTGGTGGTGTGTTAGTGTGTGTTGCGCTGGTCTGAGTGGATCAGACACAGCAGTGCTGCTGGAGTTTTTAAAAACCTCAGTGTCACTGCTGGACTGAGAATAGTCCACCAACCAAAAACATCCAGCCAACAGTGTCCTGTGGGCAGCGTCCTGTGGGCAGCGTCCTGTGGGCAGCGTCCTGTGGGCAGCATCCTGTGGGCAGCGTCCTGTGACCACTGATTAAAGACTAGAGGATGACCAACACAAACTGTGCAGCAGCAGATGAGCTATCGCCTCTGACTTTACATCTACAAGGTGGACTGACAAGATAGGAGTGTCTAATAGAGTGGACACAGTGGGTGGACACTCCAGTAGCACTGCTGTGTCAGATCCACTCAGACCAGCGCAACACACACTAACACACCACCACCACGTCAGTGTTACTGCAGTGCTGAGAATGATCCGCCACCCAAATAGTACCTGCGGGTCCATGGAGGTCCTGACCACTGAAGAACAGGGTAAAAGGGGGCTAACAAAGTATCAGAGAAACAGATGGACTACAGTCTGTAACTGTAGAACTACAAAGTGCACCTATACAGTAAGTGGAGCTGATAAAATGGACAATGAGCGTAGAAACAAGGAGGTGGTCATCATGTTATGCCTGACCGGTGTATGTAGGTAACAGTAAAACAGTTGAATCTTTAAGAAAATATTTACTTACTTTGACGCCTCCAGCCATTGTATATATTTGTATGAATCCACCACCAGCACTCCTGCCAAAGCAGCTATTGGATGGTAACTACAAATAATACTGGGCTGCCATACGGAGTGGTTTGCCAGAGGTTAACACTTTGACACGTCTTTTTTTCTTTTTCTTATCTGCAGTTTGCGGTGTTGATGTGGATCCTTACGTACATTGGTGCTTTATTCAACGGCCTGACACTCATCATTATTGGTAAGTAGTGAAAATTTTATTTAGTTAACATAGTTAACTAAATAAAATTCCCCCAAAACACGAGCTGGTAAAAACCTTCACTGTGAATTTTTATACTAGTCCATATTTAAGGTCTAAAAAAATAATAATATTGTTTACTGTGTTTTTAAGAAAACCAAGCCAAGCTAAATTAAAGCTGATGATTCTTAAATGGAGAAGTATGATTTTTTTTTTTTTTATGAAAAAGACTTCAGGTTCAGTGCCTCGTCTTTCACTTTTACACTTAATCCAGGATTAAAGTCTCAAACCTTCTTAAAATTTAGTTTAAATACACTATATGGCCAAACCTTTTGGACACCTGACCATCCTATATGAGCTTGTTGGTCATCTCATTCCAAAACCGCAGGCAATAATATTGAGTTGGCCACCTTTTTGTGGCTATAAGAGCCACCAGTCTACTGGGATGGCTTTCTACAAGATTTTGAGCGTTCAGTCAAAAGAGCATTTGTGAGGTCAGGCACTGATGTCGGACGAGAGGGCCTGGCTCACAGTCAACGTTCCAGTTCATCCCGCAGGTGTTCAGTGGGGTTGAGGTCAGGGCTCTGTGTGGGCCACTGCAGTTCCTCCACACCAAACTCATCAGACCATGTCTAAAATGTCTTTGTATGCTGTAGCATTTAACAAAAGCCTTAACTGTAACTAGCCCAAGCCCTGAAACACAGCCTCAGACTATTATCCCTCCCCCTCCAAACTTTTACTGTTGGCGTTATGCATTCGAATAGTTAGTGTCTTGCACCACTCCAGCCGACGCTTGGCATTGCGCATATGGATTTTAGGCTTATATTTAGCTGCTTGGGCATTGAAACCCATTTCATGAAGTTCCTAAAACAAAGTTCTTGTACTTATGTTGCTTCCAGAGTCGGTTTGGAAGTCTGTAGTGAGTGATGCAACTGAGGATAGGCGATTTTTATGCACTACACACTTCAGCACTCGGCAGATCCACCTTCTAAGTTAGACATTTCCATTTCACAAAAATAGCACTTACAGTTGTCTAGGGTAGATCTAGCAGGGCAGAACTGACTTGTGTCAAAGGCGGCATCCTGTTTCAGAGCCATATTTAGAGTGACTAAGGTCTTCAGTATGACCCACTCTACTGCTACTGTTTGCCTATGAAAATTACTTTAGTATGTGCTTGATTTTTTTCCTTTTCAACTCCTTGGGACCACCGGTGGCTCCAAAACGCACTTCGTCATATTCTTTATAATTTTCATATTTCATAAGCTACATTCTAAAGGTGGGGGTCGTATGAGAGCTGTAACTGTCTTCTTTCCAGTCAAATAGATGGGTGATGTAATTTTAAACCCTTATAATAAAAGAAGCTGAACTCACAAATTTTTTTCTACTGAAAGTCGACCCATTTTTCCACAAATCTGGGCTATAAACAATAAACAGATGGCGTCTCTTCAGTGATCTGCTCTGTAAACATTATTTTTATAAAATAATACAAAGAGCGTCTAAGATTTTTGGCTTTCAGCAGTGAATTGTAAGCATATAGCAATATGTGTGATCATAAAACACGTTCTGTTAATTTGAGGGGAGCTTTTATAAAAAATAAATGAATAAAAAAATAAAAATTTACATTTATTTCGTGCAGTTACTGAATAATTTGCCTTACGATTTGGTCATGTTAATTCAGGTAGAATAAACAAAATGTACCCTGGAGAATAAGAGGTTATACACCTGTTAGCAAAATGGCAGAAACAACTGACCTCAGTAATTAAGAGGGGTGTCCACATATATTTGGTCATGTAGCGTATATGTACATGTAGTGTGTAAGTATAGTGGGGAGGCTGCTTTTGTGACCCCTGCCTTTGGAAGCACTTCATAATGACCAATGTGACATGAGGCGATAGTCTTTAAGGTTGGTTACAGTCAGAGTTGGTTAATAACAGAACACATTTACAGTACAAAATTCAGGAATCTGATTACAGGGATGAAAAATAGGGTGATTACAGCAAAAATGCATCCACTTCAGTATCTTTCGGTCTTTTATTTAGTCAATCTATAAAATTTTTAGTAGGTGTCTTATTTTTATTGGCAAAACTGAGATCTACAGCATTTTTCTGAAGATATTTCAATCAGGCTTTTTTCAACTTGGTTTTTAGTATTGCCAGATTCTACGTCAGCAAATTGGTCTGATCTGGCGGTAAACTCGTTATTCTCATTTGTTGCTATGTGAAATTTTTCAGTTTGACTGGCTGTACATCAACGTTTAATGCTGAAGTGAACCAACATTAACTAACAGTTCCGAAACGAGCCTCACGAGCGATGAAGTTACTTTCATTTTTGCATAAATTATTTCTTTCTCAGATAGTTTTGAAAGGATGGGTGCAAAATGTTAATGTGGGCAAATTCTCATCATTTGTAGCCAAGACAGTCGACTCCCACTTTCATTTTTGTATGAAATTAATGCCTTTTTAAACTTGGGACGCGTGATTTCCGTGTGCTGCCGAAATTGCTGAGAGTCACAGCAGCACTGCTGTGTCTGATCCACTCGTACCAGTACAACACACACTAACACACCACCGCCACGTCAGTGTTACTGCAGTGCTGAGAATGATCCACCACCCAAATAGTACCTGCTCTGTGAGGGTCCATGGGGGTCCTGACCACTGAAGAACCGGGTAAAAAGGGGGCTAACAAAGTATCAGAGAAACAGATGGACTACAGTCTGTAACTGTAGAACTACAAAGTGCACCTATATAGTAAGTGGAGCTGATAAAATGGACAATGAGCGTAGAAACAAGGAGGTGGTCATCATGTTATGCCTGATTGGTGTATATTGTATACCTTTATTGTACACTCTTGCATTAATAGTGCATTTTAATTAAACTTGTAACGTTTCTAATTCAATGACTTTTTTTCCCCCATTTAGCTCATGTGGCAGTGTTTACTTGGCCAGTAGTCTATGAGAAACACCAGGTAAGTCTTTTTACATCAGGAAATGTACAGGTAACTGAAAGTGTATATGCTAAATGCCATTTTTTGGACATTGTGGTGATTTTATTCATTGTTTGCAAACATCTCAAATTACACTAAGTTATCATTCATGTCTTTAAGTGTGGATTTCCTCTGATTTCTTTTTCACAGGTGCAGATTGACCATTACTACGGACTGGTGAACAACCAAATCAAAGATGTGATAGCAAAGTAAGCTGTCTGTGTGTGTGTGTGTGTGTGTGTGTGTGTTTGCTTTTATTAGTTATATCTGCCCCATTTCCCCCATTGAATTTCTGCATTGTTCAGTAAAGCAGCTCAGGTTCGACGGTCCCCTTTGCACTCTGTACCTTCTTTGTTCTCTCTGTCCTTTTGTGTTTTGTGCTCTAATGTGAAACTAAAATATGTCCTTGCTTTGTGTTTTAGGATCCAGGCTAAGATCCCCGGAGCGAAACCCAAAAGTGAATGAAGAGCCGGAGGAGGGCGACTGTGAGGGAGCGAGAGGAGTGTGTTCAGGAGGAATTTGAGGGATGGTTTAGAGCAGTGGTTCTCGATCCTGGTCCTGGAGCACCGCTGCCGCATTCATTTTAGAGTTTTCTCTGTTCTCAGTGTACCTGATACTACTAATGATCTAATTAACAAGCCCTTCCTGAGGAGAACAGGGAGAACTCTACGACATGCAGGGCAGTAGTACTCCAGAACCAGGAGGAGAACCACTTGTTTAGAGGGACAGTTTAAGCAGTGTGATTTCAGAACAAGGCCTTTGACATTGCAATGTAAAAATACACACACACACACACACACACACACACACACACACTTACCATTGTCACTAGCTAAACTGCTCTTTCACAATAGTTCCAGTACTTAGTTATTTTGAAATTAACAGCTTTAGTGAAGATAATTTAAGGTCAGTAGAGACGAAGCTGATGGGATATTTCTGTCCAGTGAAGCCTTTAACTGAGGTCAGCTGATTGTTTTCCAGTTTTCCTCCTTTCCGAAGGAGTAAAACAGCACACAGAGTTTCATCAGCCTCGGTTTTAGCTGTTTTTCTTTTTTTTTTTTTCTTTTCTTATTCATAGAACTGCTGGTGCTGATATAGAGGTGTGAATTTTGAGCGAGAAATTCAGTCACATGACCAGCGTCTGTTTTTCACAGTAGGTCATGTGTTTGAATTTTTTTTTTTTTTATTTCTCTGTGCTTTATGGAAAGGGCTCTGTTACATCATGACCCCAAAACTTCTTTTACCATTTTAGTCAAGTGGAATGAGTAGGGAACAAAAAAAAAGTGAAAATCTAAAAAAAAAAAAGAAAGAAAAAGAGAAATTGCTGTGTTATTTTGTCACTTCATTACTTAGAGCTGCCTTTAGTGTCAATGCAAATCGTTTACGCACCATGCTGTCTCCTTTGTGGACCGAATATCTGAAACGGTACAAAGCTCTTAATGTAAATTTCAACCAAATTCAAGCACTGTTTGTCATGCAGGTCATTCGAAATCATATTTCGTAAAATTTGATGACTTATTTGCTGAAGGCTGTCTGCTGAATGCATTGTGAAACTTAAATCATTATGAATAAAGCTGTAGACAAACTTAAAGAAGCTGAGCTGTTTTATGGTTTTTGTACTGCTGGTATTGTTTCCAGTGGTGGTGATGTGAATTTTAATCTTCAGGGCTGATAGTTGACTATAAAAAAGAAATAATAAATGATGCCTTTGAGGACATAAATACTGTTTTGAATGTACTGCCGTCACCTGGTGAAATTCTATAACTGCACATCTTCCAGATTAGTGATCATGAAGTCAGAGATTACACTTAGAGGAGTTTTGGTGACAGACTGAACGATAAACACAACACTACTGAAGAGATTTTACTGAAAGCCCACAAAAAATCAGAGTGGTTTGTAAAATAGAACTCCCACAATAATATCTGGTATGAATCGGTGATGGACAAAGTACACAAACCATGTACTTGAGTTAAAGTAGAGACCCCCAAGGTAAAATATTACTCCAGTAAAAGGAGAAGTTCCTCCCTTTAGACCTCCACTTGAGTAAAAGTACAGAAGTATTTGCCTTCAAATGTACTTAAGTATCGAAAGTGAAAGTACTAAAAGATTAATTATGGCTTTAATGTCCTATTATCATTTTTATAACAAGACTCGCTTCATCAACTCATTTTAGGTGAAAATACTCCAGTGTCTCTCTTGGTAAACCAGTCTTTTAATAGAATGTCATTAATTAGTGACGCTGATGTCTATTAAAATTATCATAAGCACAAAACACTGAAGGCAAACAGTTTCCATCAGGTAGAACTGAGTGGCTCTGAAATCACTTTTTACAAACAAGCAAAGTTTCAGTTTAAGATTTATTTGAACTTAGTTACAAGTTTAAATTTAATAAAAACTTTAAACTCAGATTCACAAATGAGTTTCCTTTACTAAACTGCATCTGTAGGTCTCTGTTCATAAATATAAACTAGCCAAAACTAATTTACTATAAAATGAAATGTGTTTGTATAAATTCAGAAAAAAGACACGTCAGTCACAACTGCATATGAGTAAATATTTCTATTTTGTGGTCTGTTTACACAAAGTTAGGTTAGTTCATCATTTATGTTGAATAGACTCTCCCAATATTTTACGCTGCTGCACTGACCTTGAACTGTGTGCTGCACTGGGTCGGTATGTCCAACAGGTCAAAACAAGCTCAAAACAAAGTGGGCGCTGTGCCCTGATTGGTGTTCTTACTTTGCGCTTCTTTCGTTTTGACATGTTATGTTTTTATACACACATAAACCAAAAGGAACGACAGATTTCACATAATGTGGAGTAAAAAGTGAGATATCTGACTTTGAAATGTAGTGGAGTGAAAGTAAAAAGTCACCCAAAATGGAAAAACATCAGTAAAGTACAGTCATGAAACAAAATACTTAAGTACAGTAACGAATTACATTTACCTCGTTACTGTCCACCACTGTTATGAATACCATGTGACTGAAGCAGCTGCATTTCTAGGAAAAAATCCTAGAGAAAGTAATTTTTTTCCCCAAACTGCTGCAAAATGGGAATAAAACCAAAGGTGTTGCATTTATATTTTTGTTTAGAATAAAAAGCACATTATCCACCTATATATATTACAGCTATAAGAAATTCTGTCTTTTGTTTGTATTGCTTTGTGTTTTTATTTTTTTATTAGTTACAAGGGTTTGATGGCGCCCCAATCATGGAATTACCCAATTAAGATACTCAGGCCAACTAACCATCTAGAACAATGTTGCGGAACTGAGCACTGCGGTCCAGTTTTCCCTGCTCAAACACTCAGGCTAAATCTGGCAATTAACATGAGTTAAAATGCGTGTGTTTGAGAAAATCACCACACTGGGCAGGAATCTGGTCCTCCAGCACTCGAGTTCTGACCTGGAATTAGAAACTAGGTGGAGCATATCGAGCCTCCTAAAGTGACCTGGGGATTGTTTTTAATAAGCCTTGTCCACAAATTAATATATTGAGGCCATAAGTTACATTTCTCATGGCCACAAATTAATATATTGAGGCCGCAAATTAGTTTCTTGTGGCCAAAAATGTATGTATTGTGGTCACAAGTTAAGCTCAACATACTAATTCATAGCCTCGATTTGGTAACTCATGGCCTCACTATAATAGTTTGTGGCCACGCCTTAATAAAACTAATTACCATGTCATCTTAGGGGCTCCGTACATAGATGAATCATTAGCCACGTTTACATGCAGCCTAATAATGTAAAGCAGCTAGAAGGTCTCAAAAAGCAGCACATGATGCCATGTTAAAAAGAGATTCAAATACAGATGCAAAGATACTGATACTGAAATCTGCCAGTCTGGAAAGGGTTATAAAGCCATTGCTGAGGCTCTGGAACTCCAGCGAACCACAGTGAGAGCCGTTATCCACAAAGGGAAAAAACTTGAAACAGAGGTGAACCTTCCCAGGAGTGGCCGGCCTACCAAACTTTCACCAAGAGAGCATCGACGACTCCAGGAGATCACAAAAGAACCGAATATCTAAAGAGCTGCAGGCCTCACGTGCCTCAGTTAAGGTCAATATACAGGATTCCACAATAAGAAAGACACTGGGCAAAAATGGCATCCATGGGAGAGCTGTAAGGCGCTGCTGACCAAAAAGAGTGCAGTGTTTCGTCTTGCGTTTGCCAAAAAACATCCAGATGACCCCCAAGACTTTTGGGATAATATTCTGTGGACTAAAGAGTCAAAGATGGTACTTCTTGGAAGACATATGTCTTGTTACATCTGGCGTGAAGCTAACACTGCATTCCACCATAACATCTTACTGATAGTAAAACATGGTGGTGGTAGTGTGATGTTTCTGGGGCTGCTTTACTTCTACAGGACCTGGACGACTTGTCATAACTGATGGAACCATGAATTCTGCTCTCTGTCAGAAAAGACTGTCAGTTTGTAACCTAAAACTCGTTATGCAACGAAAAAATTATCCAAAGCACACAAGCAAGTCCACCTCTGAACGTCTCAAAAGAAGCAAAATTAAGGTTTTGGAGTGGCCGAGTCAAAGTCCTGACTTGAATCCCATTGAGATGCTGTGGCAAGAACTTAAAAGGGCAGTTCATGCTTGAAAACCCTCCAATGTAGCCAAATTAAATTAATTCTGCAATGAAGAGTGGGCCAGAATTCCTCCACAGTGATGTAAAAGACTCATTGCAAGTTATTGCAAATGTTTGCAGTTGTTACTGCCAAAGGTGGCACAGCCAGGTGTTAGGTTTAGAGGGCAATTACTTCTCACATGCGTGATATAGTTTTTGGATAAATCTTAATCTTCAATAAATGCAACGGTCACTTAGAAGCTGCGTTTTGTGTTTACTATTAAAATTAGTTGGATGATCTGAAACATTTAAATGTGACAAATTAGCAAAAATAGAAGAGATTTTTTTTTTAACAGAACTGTATCTATGATTTTACCTACTGAATAAACTAGCAAACTGAGCTATTAATGTTAAAGTAACCTCTTTATTATGTAATTAATATGAATCATTTATGCCAAACATGTCAAATAATCTACACTAGCTGAAGACGTCAATAAATAATAGATTTCATGTTTAAATTGAAATAATCCAATTATCTATAAAATGAAATAAAAAATAAAAGGAAAAGAGCTAACATTACCAAGCAAATGACGTTTTGTTTATAGTACATTTCAGATGTAGTTTGTAATTGTAATGCTGCATACTGGGGGTGTATTGATACACCAAAAATTGATCGTAAATCAGATTGTGCCAGCTGTGGTCAGATCCCTCTGAGAGCTGAATTTCCTCCACTGTCTATCAGCGCTGCATATCGTTGCTCTACCAGATCTAAACATGTCAGAGAGTCAGAGACTGGAAGACAAAGATCTTGACAGGTTGAAAATGTAGGCCAGAGTGCATCCAGAGAAGTGAGCAGCGCTGGGCAGAAGGTGGAAGAACCAGCGTCCAGTCGCGGTTCTGAAAAAGACGGTGATAGAGATGAGAGTGCTGTTACAGAGAAGCTGGATGGGGAAACTGTTTTAAGGTTCCTCCCGAAGAGAACTGTCAGAGATGGAGAGGCAGGATAAGAGTTGAGGACAAGTGAGAAAAAGAACGACAAAGAAATGATGTGAAAAATGAAACGGTGCTACAGTGAGGCTGGATGTAGTAGAGTTCCTTTTGAAGATGACATCTAGGATAGCTCTCCTCTGTGGGCTGGTGGTGACTGTGAGAGACTGAGGTCACGGTGGGGTCTGGATTCTGGAGACTGAGGTCGCCAAGCAGGATCAAAGGATGGCCACCTTCAGGAAGGTCTTTGATGAAACTGCTGAGAGGGCCTGGGGGACGACGGATCACAGTGATGTAGAGCTTACTGGATTTGGATTTAGTCTCGGCACGAAATTCAATGTGAGACTTGAAGTTGAGGTAGTAGGAAAAGAGTGAATGTCCGAGCGGAGTGAATGGACAAAGCTGTCCCTCAACCTTGACCAGAAGCCCTGGGTTTATGGGAGAATAATAAGAGGACAGCAGGTGTGGAAATGTTCTCTGGGGTGCTGAGAAGTGAAGGAATAGCCTGCTTGTATAAATGGTGATAAGGACAGTTTTGTTTCTATCACTATTTATACAGAACCCTCTGTGTGAATGGTCAGAACCCTCAAGGCTGAGCAAGCAGGAGTTCCTCAGAAGCGAAGCAGGGTAGATGAGCTGAGTGGGATTCCGTCTGCACGCAGAGTTCAACCTGTAATGAACAGCGTTAGAGTAGCTTTAAGAGAAAGCAGAGTTTGGCATGTGCTGAGATAAATAGTTTTAAATCTTTTTCATGACACAGTAATGAAGATAATATGTATTATAAATGTAAGTAAGTAAGTAAGTAAAGTTTATTTATATAGCACTTTTTACAACAGGTGTTGTCACAAAGCAGCTTTACAAGGAAATCAGCATTACAGAAAGAAATCCGGGTCTGAGCCCCCATGAGCGTCGCCAGTGGCGACAGTGGCAAGGAAAAACTCCCTAGGGACCATTCTGTCTAAACTGTGGTCCCATGTGTTCAGACCCCAGATATATACAAGGATAATGTGATGCTTTTTTCAAA